AACGCGCACAAATCCTAAAAATCTAGACCATAAACCCAAAACTGGTCGCGCGAAATATATGCAGCGGTCACTAAAATACGCTAATTGACCGCATTGCTGCTCTAAAGCTACTGTTTTTCGCCCACGAGCCCTAAACGCTGGGAAGCTGCATACCGATGCCCCTCCCGCGCGCGTGACACCTAACACCATCGGGCGATTCGCTAAGTCGAAGGCGATTGGATGCCGTCTCAAATAACCATTTTTGGGCCTAAACAGCCTGTAACATTTCTCTGCACAGTTTACTGAATAAAGTCTTCATTGTAGTATAATTATATATATATATATATATATATCATAGACATCTACTCTATTACAAATCAAAATGTAGATGCGTTGTCACCCGTGAGGACTAAAATGGAATGCCTCATTTCCAGTAAAAAGGGCCTCCGGCCACCTGCACTCACCAAGCGAAACGCAGAGGTAAACCTCTACTTCACGCTGGTTTTCTGTGAGGTCGTGGTACCATCCCGGTTCGAGCCGGCCCATCCGTGCGACAGCAAAAGCTGCCGCGTGGCTCTACCACTGTTTATCACTATCACAGGAGATATCACTCACTTTTGTTGCTGCTCTACGCCACCGTCTAGGTATATCACATTTGGCACAAAACGATAAGATATACCGTCATTATTCGGAAGCACCGACTAGGGGTGCCTGATCTGAATCGATTTTCTGGAAGATAGATTCACGGCCATACGATCTGGCGATTTCTGAATCGATTCAAGGGAATGCGATCTTCCCCCAGATCGATTCATATGGCTATAAGATCGTAAGAAAAAATCGTATCAAATAAAACCTAAACATTAACCGAACAGAACGTCCTAACCTATGAACGGATCTTTGCATACCTATCGTATTGCCGGGGAGGAAACAGAATAACTAAAACAAAGTTCTTACTTTCTTTTTAGTTACTGTCTTACCTAGTGCCAACACATTAAATGAGATAGATAGTTACTTATAAAACGGTGGTGTATGAAATATGAAGGTAGGTATGATAATATTTTGTTTATTTTATTATACCTATGTAAGTGTTATATGATCTTTCATTCTTTGTATTATTGCGATACGAAAAGATCAGCTGTTCTGTGAGCGTAAACTATTACTTTAAAATACTTTTTAATGTGGCCCCGCCAACCAAATCAACCGCTTCGTTTTTTTTTTAATTAGATGTGACGTGGGTGGACAATGTAAAATGTGTAAACAGATGGTTAAAGCTAGTAGAAATACTATCAATTTAAAAAATCATCTCAAGCGTCATCACACAGGCACTTATTCTGAGCTAAGCAAAAGTTAAGAAAGTTCTACTACAGCAATTGCCGAAATCGTAAGTATCTATCTATCATCATCACCATCATCATTACAGCCCCTCACAAGTCCACTGCTCAACATAGGCCTCCCCCAAGGAATGCCACAAAGCACGGTCCTGAGCCACCTGCATCCATCGACTTCCTGCATATCTTACCAGGTCGTCACTCCTTCTAGTGGGGGGACGCCCTACACTTCGTCCGCTCCACTCGAGAACCTTTTTTCCCCATCGGTTGTCGGTTCTTCGAGCTATATGGCCGGCCCATTGCCATTTCAGCTTACTAATCCGTTGGGCTATGTCGGTCACTCTGGTTCTACTGCGGATATCCTCATTTCTAAGTTTATCACGCAGAGAAACTTCCAGCATAGCCCTCTCCATAGCTCGCTGAGCGACCTTGAGCTTCCTCATACGGCCAGCAGTGAAGGACCATGTCTCAGTTCCATAGGTCATCACTGGCAACACGCATTGGTTGTACAGTGTCGTTTTCAAGTTTTGAGGTATACCTGACGAGAAGATGTGCCGTAATTTCCCGAACGCTGCCCAACTGAGTTGAATCCGCCGATTGACCTTTCGGTCGAAGTTGGACTTACCTAGTCAGACTATTTGTCCCAGGTAAACATACTCGTCAACAACTTCGAGCTTAGTGCTCCCAACAACTACCGGCATAGGTGTGACATGGACATTAAACATGATCTTTGTTTTGTCCATGTTCATCTTAAGACCTATCCGTTGGGAAACACTATTAAGGTCATTGAGCATAGTGCTTAGGTCCTCCGGCGATTCTGACGTAAGGGCTATATCGTCGGCAAATCAAAGGTGAGTGATGTACTCGCCATTGATGTTAATACCGTATCCTTTCCAGTTCAGTAGCTTGAAAACGTCTTCCAATACAGCGGTGAAGAGTTTCGGGGATATAACGTCACCCTGTCTTACACCTCTCTGCAATTGGATATGTTTCGTACTCTGATTCTGTACTCGGATAACCATCGTAGCTCTACTGTACAAACACTTCAGCACTTCGATATACCGACAGTCAACTTGGCACCGCTGAAAGGACTGCAGCAGCACCGCCCAAATTTCGGCTTTCTCATCACATACGCCAGACATAGTGGCAAATTGTACTCCTCGGACTTCTGTACAATTTGCCGAAGGGTATGTATGTGGTCTATGGTGCTAAAGCCTTTTCGGAAACCGGCTTGTTCGGGGGCTGGAAGTCGTCAAGTCTGCGCGCGAGACGATTCGTAATGACTCTCAAAAATAGCACGTAGACGCGGCTCAGAAGGGAAATCGGTCTGTAGTTCTTCAAGAGAGTGTTGTCACCTTTCTTGAAGAACAAGACCAGCACACTTCTGCTCCACGCCTCCGGTGTAATGCCACCATTAAGGACGGAATTAAAGAGCTTCTGAAGGACTTCAAGTACCTGTTTTCCACCCGCTTTCAGAAGCTCCGCTGTAATTCCATCATCGCCTGGGGCCATGCCGTTTTTAAGGTGCTGGGCAGCCATTCTAATGTCGTTCAGACTGACGTCCGGGATATCATCGGAATACTGTCGGATAAGACTCGCTCTTGGATCGTTACTCACACTTGCGTGTTGCTCCAACGATGACGTGTACAGCTGCCCATAGAACCTCTTAATCTCACTCAAAATCTCAGGTGTCCCGGAAGCGATGCTGCCACATTCGGTCTTCAGCTTTGACAGTCGGTTCTTTCTGGCACACAGATCTCTAGCAAAGACTTTGGAGCCCTGGTTCCGCTCGATCGCTTCTTCAATACGGGCAGTATTAAAGTTGCGTAAGTCCCGCCGCATGCATTTGGAGATCTGTCTGTTCAGTTGCCTGTATGCTGTCAAATCGACTGAAGACTGCAGCTTTATATCCCGTCTAACACCCATGAGATTAAGAGTGTGATCAGAGAGTTTTTGTGTTCTTCTGCGGCGGGTCTTGCAAAACTTAGCTCCGACCGCATGGACAGTTTCCACGAGCTTTTCATTCATATCGTCCACTGCATTGCAATCTTCTAGGCACTGAAAACGGTTTCGTAGCTCGAGCTGAAAGGTTTCGGGTCTTTGAATTAGAGCACGAGGGGGACGGAGCGTTGATTTCATTAGACGTGACCTCTCCAACTTTACGTTTAGGTTCAGTGTGCCTCTCACCATTCGGTGATCGCTGCCGGTTTTCACCCTCGCGATCACTGAGACATCACTGAACAGTCGTCGTCTGGTCGTCATAATGAAGTCAATCTCATTTTTTGTCGAACCGTCGGGGCTCGACCAGGTCCACTTCCTGTGAGGCCGCTTCTGGAAGAAAGAGATCATCTGAAAGAGTCTCTCTTTCTCCATGAAGTCGGCCAGCTGCTGGCCCTTTGGCTTCTGTTGCCCTATTCCGAATTTCCCTACTTTCAGCTCACCGTTCTCTCTTGTGCCTAGCTTAGCGTTGAAGTCTCCCATTAACACCGTATAGTGGGTTTTGAAGGAATGCATGGCTCCAGAGATATCCTCATACATTTCCTCCACATCCTCCTCAGGGTGTGCCGAGGTTGGTGCGTAAATCTGTATGACCTTCAGCGAATACCGTTTGGTGATTCTGAGTATAAGGTACGCAACCTTCGTCGCCACACTCCCACCCAATCTTTACAACGTTGTTAACGAGAGACTTGTGGACGATAAATCCGATACCGCCTTGGGACAGATGGTCACCCTCCCGGTGATAGAACAAGTTGCTGGAATCGAGGATTAGCGTGTCCTCCCCCTCTCTTCGGATCTCGTATAATCCTATGATATTCCAGCGCAACTTGTCTATCTTTTCTTCCAGCTCCACGATCTTCTCGTCAGTCGTCAGGGTGCGTGCGTTATAAGTTGCCAGGTTGAGTCTCAACGAACTCTCGAGAACCTCCACCGGAGATTCTCAGCAACCCCTGCCCCGCCGTTACTCTGGTCGCCACCGTAGCCAGGAATAGCGGGTCCGCCGGGGACTGGGGGCCGTCTTTTTGTAACTTTTATCATGGGGGTTATATTGCCATAGTTGCCACGCTTGGCGAGCGGGTTTGCAACCGCAGTTTTTTTTTATATTGTTGATGTGCTGTTCAAGATCAGAAAGATGCTGCTGCCCATCCTCTGCCTCAGTTTTCCTCTGTCGCCTCTTACGACACCCACGTAAAAATATGAAGTAGTGAGTATTCTTACCCGCCACTACACGGGGTATTAGTATCTATCTATACGTCTATACAAATAAATAAAATTGAAGTATCTGTTTGTAATGTCAAAATTAAAGCGTTTTACTAAATGAATATGAAAGTATAGACGGTACTTAACAAAAATACACTTAACAAAAATTTTTGTATGTCTGTCTGTCTGTTTGTTCTGGCTAATCTCCGAAACGGCTGGGCTGATTTTGACGGGACTTTCACTTGCAGATAGCTGATATCATAAGGAGTAACTTGGGCTACTTTTATTTTAGAAAATTAATTTAGGTTCCTCGCCAAAAAATTAAAACCATAAATTTCACGCGGGCGAAGTCGCGGGGAGCAGCTAGTTTTATATACAAACAAATAAAATTGAAGTGTCTGTTTGTAATGTCAAAATAACAGCTTTTTACTGAATACATATCAAAAAATATACGGTACTTATAACAAAAAATAAATTTAAAAAAATTCTGTCTGTCTGTCTGTTCGTCTGTCTGTTCGTCTGTCTGTCTGTCTGTCTGTCTGTTTGTTCCGGCTCAGAAACGGCTTGGATGATTTTGATGGGAATTTCACTGGCAGATAACCCATGTTACGGGGAATAACTTACGCTACTTTTATTTTAGAAAAATATTAACATTTGGAATTCATAATGTAAAACCTGTTTTATACTTTTCAAAAATAATAATTTAGAAAACTCATTGGATACCATAATAGGCATTGTTAAAATAAATAATTATGCATGCATACTGTGCTTGTCTTTATTTATAAAAAATTACGATACGATTTTCCGAGATCGGATAAGATCGATTCAAAATGCAATATGATTAAATCGTCAATCGATTCACGAGTTTACGATCCATTACAAAACAAAAATCGGGCATCACTAGCACCGACTTCATGAAGTCTGTCTGACCTTACACCTCTTACGATACTTACGGGACAAATAATGACGGCATGGACCACATGTGAAATGCGAGATGTGTAAAATGTTAGCTTACCGTTACGTATCTACATACAGTAGATGTAAAAATCTTTGACGTTCTTCGAAGTACAATAGAGTATATATTACGATTGTGAGCTTCCGTGCATCAATTGTTGTAGGATTGAGATTTACAAATAGTGCATTATTGTGTTTGAGAATTCAACAGAAATAGGGTGTATATCCCGTATTTGTTGATAAATGATATAAGATTAAATAAGCACTACGTGATCAGTGATGTGTTTTATTGCCGCGGAGAAATTGGGCAAGCACATATACCTATATCTATCGAAAACTTTGTTAATATAACAAGCAACGCGGACGAAGTCGCGGGTATCAGCTAGTTTTTAAAAAAATATTTGGGTGTTCAAGTAGCTAAGATACCTTAAGGTAAGAGGCTACTGTGGTCATGGGACACTTCAACGAACATAAATAAAAGAATATCTTATTCTTAGAGCCTTTAATTATATTGGCACTCCTAGCCCTCCAACCGAAGTATAACAGTGGATGCATTGCCAAGAGGATGGTACCGAATTGCTCAGACGAACCTCTAGGTGTAAAAAGTGCTCCCCCCGAACGGGTTCCCGCCTTGTCGTGGCGAGGGAGGGGGGCTTAGTAGCCGTGGCTTGGTCACCCGCGGTGAACAAAGAGGAACCCCTTGGCTGGCCCGTGGTGTAGGGCCGGCCCGAGGTGGCCACTCTGAGTGGGCTTGGCGAGCCCACTTTGGATGTGTGTCGGTGGGCTGCGGTGAGAGTGGTGTCGTAGGCGTCGGCGTCGTAATCGTCGCGAGGCGGGTATGCGTAGGCATTTCCCCATGAAAAAAAAACTATGCAAAAGAAAAAATAGATACAGATCGCAATCAGCTTAGTCAAGTTTCTCCGAATCAGGGCATCTTCGACTTTCTTGCCACCATGGGAGCGCCATTAATATACAAGATGAAAAATTTTAATTTAGGTACATGGCGGGGTAGTTAAATATGTTAGGAAAATGGCAGGTTTAATTAACGTTACTTTTTATTACTTTATATTAATATTAATTAGATTAGAAATGAATAAACTAAAATACAGATATTCCTATGAGTAGTAAATTTAAAAAAAAATAAAAAAATGTATAAAACATTAAGGAATAAACCACAGAGGCATTGTTTTTTGTGTTTATTTAATACTCTTGAATTTAAATTTTATTTAAAACGCAACTTCAAATTTATATGATAGGTACTAGCTGGCCAGGCAGACGTTGTTCTGCCCTTTCTGACGACCCTTCATATAAAAATCCTAATTTAAATTCCTATAAAAAACAAAAGCTTATATTCGCAATAAAAAAATATTGAGGGTCGCTTATCGGGATAAAAAGTATCCTATCTCTCAAGTTGGACCAAAATGCACACAGTGTGCGAAATTTTATCGAAATCAGTTCAGTAGTTTAGGAGTCCACCGCGGACAAACAACGGGACACGTAATTTTTATATATAAAGATTGTGTAACAAAAAAAAACATCACTTCAGGCCCTTCTATCGACATCTGCTGAATGAAAGATTATAAGCCCCTATTAATTACAATTATTATATTAGTTCAATGTATATATTTGACGAATTTGGATTTTAAAATATTTGGAGATTTTGAAAGCATAATGAAAGATAATTGAATACTTATTTTGTCATTTTTAAAATTTATAAAAATTTAAAATGTGCCCTCTATTGTCATTCATTTGAACTAAGTCATATTACCTTATTGTACACGTTAATAATGTTTTGCTGCTAGTCGATAGATGTCACTTCTCAATTATAATATTGTTACCAAGCTATCTCTACTTGACAACAGATGTCGCCAAAAGTACAATTAGTAGAAACCTCTGAAGAAAAAGCAAATGGTTGAAAAACTCATTTGCGGAGAGTACGATATACGATAATTGTACCTGTCGTAAATTCTACGTTATCTCCGTATATTCTGGGAAAGTATTAAAAATGCGCATAATAATGTAATTAAAACACAACGTAAACAAAGGTTCGAAAAATATGGTGATCCTATTTTTACCCCTTCGTACTTAAATGAAGGAAACTTTATTATATCTATGAAGGAAACCGATAGTATTTTTTGTAGTTTATTTAAACATGTTGTAATGTTAAAAATATATAAAATGAGTGCATAGAATTAAGATGTTAATTAACACATACATTTTAATAAGTAAATAGCGATTCGCTCCTGCTCCGCATGGGTGAATCTACATTAATATATTATAGAGTTATTGCAGATTTAAGGTAATCAAAGACCATTGATTTAATAAAATTGTTCGATATCTCGAAAAAATTCTTTAAAGTTTTTTGAATAAAATATAATAGCATGAATCACTTGTGGAGTTGTTCTCTTACTATTCATGAAGCTTCAGTCTCTCTGTATTAATTTTATATTTTGAAGCGTATAAATTATTATTGAAAACAAGAGTGTGACCGTAGTCAACTATTATAATCTTATAGAATATAAATTAACTAGCTGTTCCACGCGACTTCGCCCGCGTGTAATTTAGGGTTTTAATTATATTGCTCAGAACCGTAATACTTTTGCTTAAATGTAAGTAGCCTAAGTTACTCTTTAGAGCATTAGCTATCTGCCAGCGAAAGTCCAGTCGAAATCAGTCCAGCCGTTTCGGAGATTAGCCGGAACAAACAGAGAGACAGACAGACAGACAAAAATTTTAAAAATTGTGGTTTTGTTATAAGTACCTACTGTATATACATTCACATGCATTCAGTAAAAAGCTGTTATTTTAACATTACAAACAGACACACCAATTTTATTTATTTGTATAGATAAAAGATCTATACGTGGTAGAGCCATGCTGCAGCTCTATTAGTAGTATAGTTGTAGCACGAATGGGTCGGCTCGACCGGGGAAGCACCACGCTCTCACAGAATACCAGCGTAAAATAGCAGTTTAAAACTGCTGTGTTTCGTATGGTGAGTGTAGAGAACCGGAGACCCTTTTTACTGGAAAAGAGGCATTACATCTTAGTCCTCACGGGTGACAACGCATCTGCATTTTGATTAGGATTATTAGGAGGATAGATATATATGTCTATGGGCCGCAGCAACCACTTACCATCAGGTGGACTGTGTGCTCGTTTGTCACCCTATCCTATAAAAAAAAGAAACTAAAACTAATCACTTAAATGATCGAGGATAGAGTTCCTTTAGGGACTTCACCGCACGTGGACCCTACGGACCGACACTATCCACAGCAAATGGCGTAAATATGAAGTCATCTCTCAGACTCATATTTGCGCCACTTATAGTTCAGATGCCTCTGATGCCGCCCGGGCTCTAAACGAAGTACCCCTGATATAAGCGGTAAGTGTCTCCGTAAGAACAATGTCATACCGTCGGGTCTCCTGCCATCGTCTCTAAATATTCCACAAGGCTCTAAAACCGACGGAACACTTATAGAGGAAGAGTTCTTCGGATGACATCGTTCAAAGAACCGTGCCGTGAAAACCTACCAGCATTTTTATTACATGAAAGTCCGTGGAGCCCTAACTCGTCGACGCTGCTACCACGGAGGCAGTGATGTTGACTGGGTTGACAAATTGCTGCTCCTAGTCGGATTCCCACGGCGATGTATATAATGATGTTAAGATTTTTTTTATAGGATAAGGGTGACAAACGAGCACACAGTCCACCTGATGGTAAGTGGTCGCTGTGGCCCATAGACATCTACATCTATCTTCGATTAAGAGTCAAAATGCAGTTGCGTTGTCACCCGTGAGGACTAAGATGGAATGCCGCTTTTCCAGTAAAAAGGGTCTCCGGTTCTCTACACTCACCATACGAAACACAGCAGCGTTAAGCTGCTATTTTACGCTGGTATTCTGTGAGAGCGTGGTCCTTCCCCGGTCGAGCCGACCCATTCGTGCTACAACTATACTACTAATATAGCTGCAGCATGGCTCTACCACGTATAGATGTAAAGATGTTCTAACAATAATCAAGTAATGTGCCAGATTATTTGATGGTAAAGCGTGTAACCAGTTACTAGTTTCATTATGATTGGTGCAGCCATTCCAAAGATTAGCCCGGATTAACAGACAGACAGATAGACAAAAATTTTAAACATGTTTACACAAATCTTGATGGCATACAAATTATAACGCCCTCACCTCAATAAAAGTCAACCTATCCTATAAAAAATTATTTCCATATTACAGACAGACATTTCATTATTTTTATTTTATATATAAGTTATATAATATATATACAAGGTTAATTTTCAAAGCGTAGCCAAATTTCAAACTTAAGTTCAAATATATAAATAATTTGACAAGAAAAGGTTGATAAACGAGCATATAGTCCACCTGATGGTAAGTGTATAGACATTCTACATTTATCATCGATTAATGAAGGTGTTATTTTATGCTGGTATTATGTGAGAGCGTGGTCCTACCCCGGTCGAGCCGACCCGTTCATGCTACAACCACAATATAGCTGCAGCGTGGCACTACCACGTAAAAAATTATATTTTAGTCCAAAAAAATCACAAGAACTGGATTCG